GTTGGCGTCGAAGTTAATTAATTCTTAATAAAAATAAATCAAATCTGTGAAAGAAAATAACTGAGTAATATGTGAGCTGCTGGCATGGCATTTGTAATTAGCTGCCATGAAGTGTCAATAAATTGCCATTTGCTTTGGGTGAGTGTGTCGCGAGGTCTTGAAAGGATGGGAACCGCTGAGATTTGTGATTTAAGTCATGAACTTCGTTTCTGCTCCAGAGCATCGTACAAATTTTGCCGAACTAATTAACAGATGTTTGTTGATGATAATTCACTTTGCAAAGTAGGAAAGAACATCGGTGAATGAATTCTGAACACTCTTGATGGACGGGCTGTGACTTGCTTGAATGTACATTTACGCGTGAACGCTTAATAATTAATAGATATTGCTTAATGTCGCAGAGGATAAAATGGACGGACCACGTGGCACGCGTGAGAAATTGTGGTTGGGGAGCTTGAAGGGAAGATGCCACTAGGACGACCTAGGCAAAGATGGGAGGATATTAAAATTAATCAGAAAATAGGGTGGATTGATCTGGCTCAAGACATAGGCCGCTGTCGGGCTCTTGTGAACTCTTTCGTCTCAAGAAAGTGTGGTAATTTCTTGACTAGCTAAGCGACTATCAGCTTGTCAAGGAGTTACTCACTTCATTAGTTTAGTTTGTTATCGACAAGAGTTAACAATTTTGAACATGAAAGTGTCTTATTACTTGTTCGTGTTCCTTGCAAAATTGCACATTTCAAGAACGTGGCTGGGCCCCCACGCGGCCAGTGGTCGGTCAGTGCTTTTGATAGCAGAAACATTTCGTCTCAAAGGAATTCTGATTTGCATCTAAAACTGGCATCAATTGTTCCATAAAGTTTATTATGATAAACCTTCTTTGACATTGTTCCAATTTTGCGAGACGCTGGTTTCTTAGCAGCCAGAAGCATGAGAGTAGGCCGGAAGGTAAGAGATTCTATGCTGAGTGGCATATCCAGAATTTAATGTCTTTGTCTTCTGTGTTTTTACCGTAGTTCTGAAATATTTGAAATTTGCCACATTTTCGAAATTCAGTATTCAGAATTTTTTGTGATTCCGTTCTGGGTTTTGGTGATGAGGTTAGTTCGTTTTCAACCTGCGGCGCTCCAAACGTTTTACACGTGATTTGGGAATTAGCCAATACGAAAAGAGCGCAACTGTTCCGCTACTGAGGAAAACGCTGACACACACACACACACACATCTAAGCGTAAGTGCGAACAATAAATGAAATACTTCATTGCGCAAATGTGCGTTCGTCAAACCACATGACGTTTAGACAAAAGATTATGAAATTAACAGTGTCTTGGAATCGAAATTGTTTGAAATCCAACAAAGAACACATTTACGATAAAGTTTTATAGCCCCCTCCTTGGTATTCCTGGTTGGTTCTTGCGAAATTATTTTTCCGGGTTTCATAAATGCGCTTTCGTCTGAGTTGGCCGTTGTTTACGCTTCGGCTCCAACCAGTTGTGGTGCATCTTTCATTTTGCTCGTATTTGCCATTTTCGCTGAAAAAAAAGTATTTAATTAGATTGGCTACTGCAAAAACGAGGAACCTTTCAAAGAGCTGCTTCTTCCGGGGAAAGGAAATTTCTTCCCTCGTGGTTTTTTAATCAGGGCTTTCGAAACAAAATTAATACGCGCGTTAAAGAACGATAGCTGACTCATGTCAAAGAATTTCGAAACGTGAACAAAAGAGGTTTTTATGGCCGAATTATCACAAAGATCAAATGATTTTCACTCCCATTACAGTGACCTCAGTTGGGATTGAACTACGGACCTGCGATCCTTTGAAACATTTCGTCGAACCGAGGGAACTGAAATTCGAATTGCGATGGTAAGAGTAACTCATAGCTGATGTAAATTGCGAACCAGTGAAGTGGCTGTGGAATATTTTGGAAATTCTAGCTCGGAGTAGCCGATCCTAGGATTTGTGGGCAGTTAAAATGTGTCTAAAGTACTGAATGGCCCCTTGGAACTCAAAATATTGTTGCATTATTTCGCCCGTACTTGTTTGACGTCGTTGCGTGCGTGTGGGAGTCGCGGCTGTCATGGCAGCAAGGAGGCGAAGATGTGCGTCTCGTAAGAGTGCCGGATCGTGCAGTCAGTTTGGAGTCGTGACCCGCTGCAGGCGCGACGAGGCACTCGGGCTGCTATGGAGTCATTCACAAAAATCAGATCCGTGAGTGCTCACTTGGAAATTTCGTATTAGACGCTTTAAGCCATGACAGTTTAAAATTGAGTGCTTGTATTTGTTCTGGGAAGGTTGCATTTGTATTATTATAGTAAGGAAAGTCATTAAAGTGTTTTTCAGTTAACATCCGTTCTCTGTGAAGAAGAATTCAAGTGGTTTTTGCACTTTTTTCACGTGATTAAACCTGAGCGACGAGAGGCAGGTTCCGAAATTAAGATTATCTTCAGATTTGTTTTTTGTTTTGAACTCCGACCGCGTGTGTCATTCGCTTTACACGAACCCTGTCAGTGAAGCGCCTTTTAGTCTGGTTTATTGCAGAGCTGCATTGCGTCTTGAGAAAAATCGTCTCAGGTCCAATCCTGGTTTGTGCGTTGGTCAGCTCAGAATGACAGAATTTTACGAAGTCTCGGCGCCTTTCCTCGCCCTCCTCCCTGCTGTACCGTGGTTTGAGCGTCGAACCACGCTCTGTCATTGATGAATCGTCATGAGAGGAAGGCAAAATAGTGAGTCCGGTCAGCTGGATGCTGTTTCTGCCACGGAGCCTCCTCTTCGATCTCGAATGAACAAAACAGTTTTGATTTTGATTCCGGCAGAAGAAACGGAAACTTCGAAAATGATTATTAAAAGTGTCCTGTATCGACAAACCAACCAATTTCAAAATTGTCGTAAATTTTAAAAAAAGTTTTAATGCGGTTGTTCAGTAAGTTACAGGACTGACCAAAACATTTGCTGTACGTGAGGGGATGGGACCACGAGAAGAACAGCCTCAGGTCTGTGGTTCGCTGCCGGTCATGCCATCCTCTGATAATGCTAGTGTCTTATGAATAAGGGCCGTGGGAACTGAGGAACGTCGTGCCCTGCACGCCAACAGAATCGATATCGTTCGATTTTGTGTCGGCCTCATTTCACTGCTGCTGAATTAGTGTTCGCCCTTTTAATTGGCTCGATGCGGCATTGAGCAGGAGATTCCTAGGACGTAATTTTATGTCCTCCGAAGACTCTGTTACCATCTGCTTCTTTATGAAGTTGCAGGAATTAGCAGATCAAAAGAAGTATGTCAGGATTCGATTCCTGTTTCGTATTTCTTCTGTCCTCTTCCTTCTACAACTCACTGACTGGCCGTTCGTCTTCGTGGTTTGCGAGTTACGTTGCCGTACGATCAATTTTTTCGATACATCGGAGAGAAACAAACAAACAAACGACCGGTTACTATCAGGTTTAATGCAGTAGACCACAGCAGCCTGTTCACACTTGCGTGCGTACACGATTTACGTCTTACGAGTAATTTAAACGTGTATTAATATAAGTTAATTCAATTCGGTTTATTATTCTAGTGTATGGCAAATTACACATACACCACGAAACAATTTAAAAATTAATATCCAGAACAACCAAGTTAACAGGAAACAAACTGTAATAGAAATCATATAATTATTGTAATAATATTGTCACTTCGGATGGATAAACAATAAACACGTCTAGAATTCTGATTGTGTGCGGTTAGTTCAGGACTCAGGACTTTTAAATTGTATGTGTTTTGCTGAACCCCCCAGTCAAGTCCGTTTACGTAAACAGCTGTCTGATGGATTTCCTATTCAGAACGGTCTGAAAATGCAGATTCTGTATCCCTCATTTAGACCGAAGCCCGGATTTCCGAAGTGATCTCTTCCCTTCAAACTTACGTGGTAAAATTTTGTGCGCATTTCTCATGTCTCTCATCCTGCTTCCCTACGGCCTAGAGCATATTAGAACAACCTGTGATAACCGGAAACTCCGCCGCGATCTGTGGACTTTAGGAAGGAATAGGACTCGGTTAGAAGAGAGGGATTGAGTTTGGAATACCAAAGAAACTTGTGAAGGTTAATTAAGATGTGAATGGCCAGGGTCGCTCGCTGGTAGAGATCCCTTCCCAGTGCAAGGAAAATTGCCTAGAAGAAAATGCAGACAAATCTAAAAACATGAGCGTAATTCGGGATCAGCTTCAACAACGGTAGAACATAATTTGAAAATGTTTAAAAAGTTTAAGTGTCTGGGAACTACGATGACAAATAGAAATGAGATCCACGATGAAATTAAAAGTAGAATTCATTCGGGAAAGCTTTTTTTTTTTCAATTCGAAATCTGTCATCGTCTCATTTAATACCAAAAAACACTGAAGTTCGGGATATATAAAACAGTAATTTTACCTGTTGTCTTGTATGATTGTGAAACATGGTCTCTTACCTTGAAGAAAGAATGTGAATTGCAGGTGTTTGAAAAATGGGTGCTCAGGAGGATGTTTGGACTTAGGAGGAATGAAATAAGTGGGGACTTTAGAATTCCGCATAACGAGGAGCTGCGTGAATTTTACGGGTCACTTAGCGTACTGAGGTTAGTGAAATGCAGGACTCTGGGATGGGTTGGACACGTACCTCGCAAGGGGTAAATACGAACTTTTGGTAGGGAGTCCTTCTGGAAAACGACCACTGGGCAGGCCAAGGAGGAGATGGGAGTATGACATCAGGATGGATCTTAGGGAGTTGGCTGTGAGGATCGTGGCCGGTGGCGGGCTTTGGTGTTATCGGCGTTGGACACGCGGGTTCTGCTACCAGGGAGTTGGTAAGATGAGCACGAAATGCGAACTCTCTTCTGTCTTAATAGTAACGAAGACTTCTGTGCACAAGCGACGAGTAATTAGAAATCGGTGGCAGCAATTCATCATCTTCGCCGTCGATGACAGTCTAGAAGCGCAGTGTTTGTGACCTGCTATTCGAAAGAGTTTATTGACTTCTGTTTAGCTCGAGCGAAGGCTGAACGGTTGTGGCACGTCACACGGACGGGAAATGTAGGTCCGAGGTCACAAATGTTTTGATGTTCCGTTGTCATGGCAGCCAAATATTTCCGTGGAAACGTTTGACGTGTGTAGCTCGTGAAGGTCTGCGTGATGTTTCCTGACAGTTTATTTTCATTTTTGAATGTTTCCTGGGGACGTGGAACTTTGCTTTCAGGAGCGTCTTCGTCTTTCCCTTAAGGTCGCTGACAACCTCGACGTTTTGTGTGTCCTGAATTCAGGCCTGCACCAGAACAAGAATATCAAGTGGTCTTCATTTGGGATCGCTTTCGATGGCTGGAAGAGTACATCGCCACTGTATCCTCCTTAACTCCTTATTTCCTTTCGTTACT